TCTCTGTTTCTTTCAGCCAAGCTGAGATCTCTGATCCCAAAAATATTTTAGATAATCATGCAGTAAACTGCTTCAAAATACATGACCTCATGTTATAGCAGGTGTTTTGATGACAAAGGTAGAGTTTCCCTGATCATGTTTCTACCTGCAGTCATTGTTTTCACATTCCAGCAACAGAGTTCTCGTTAAACTTTCCCACCCTTCCTTAAACTTACAGTGGTGTGAAAACGTGTTTGCCCCCTTACTGATTTCTTATCTTTTTGCATGTTTGTCATACTGTAATGTTTCAGATCATCAAACAAATTTAAATATTAGTCAACGATAACACAAGTAAACACATCATGCAGTTTTTAAATGAAGGTTTTTATTATTAAGGGAAAACAAAATCCAAAACTACAAAGCCCTGTGTGAATAAGTGTTTGCCCCCTAAACCTAATAACTGGTTGGGCCACCCTTAGCAGCAACAACTGCAATCAAGCGTTTTCGATAACTTGCCATGAGTCTTTTACAGCGCTGTGGAGGAATTTTGGCCCACTCATCTTTGCAGAATTGTTGTAAGTCAGCCACATTGGAGGGTTTTCGGGCATGAACTGCCTTTTTAAGGTCATGCCACAGCATCTCAATTGGATTCAGGTCAGGACTTTGACTAGGCCACTCCAAAGTCTTCATTTTGTTTTTCTTCAGCCATTCAGAAGTGGACTTGCTGGTGTGCTTTGGATCATTGTCCTGCTGCAGAACCCAAGTTCGCTTCAGCTTGAGGTCACAAACGGATGGCCGGACATTCTCCTTCAGGATATTTTGGTACACAGCAGAATTCATGGTTCCATTTATCACAGCAAGTCTTCCAGGGCCTGAAGCAGCAAAACAGCCCCAGACCATCCCACTACCACCACCATATTTTACTGTTGGTATGATGTTCTTTTTCTGAAATGCGGTGTTACTTTTACGCCACACATAATGGGACACACACCTTCCAAAAAGTTCAACTTTTGTCTCGTCTGTCCACAGAGTATTATCCCAAAAGTCTTGGGGATCATCAAGATGTTTTCTGGCAAAACTGAGACGAGCCTTTATGTTCTTTTTGCTCAGCAGTGGTTTTCGTCTTGGAACTCTGCCATGCAAACCATTTTTGCCCAGTCTCTTTCTTATGGTGGAGTCATGAACACTCAGCTTAACTGAGGCAAGTGAGGCCTGCAGTTCTTTGGATGTTGTTGTGGGGTCTTTTGTGACCTCTTGGATGAGTTGTCGCTGCGCTCTTGGGGTAATTTTGGTCGGCTGGCCACTCCTGGGAAGGTTCTCCACTGTTCCATGTTTTCGCCATTTGTGGATAATGGCTCTCACTGTGGTTCGCTGCAGTCCCCAAGCTTTAGAAATGGCTTTATAACCTTTTCCGGACTGATAGAGCTCCATTATTCTCTTTCTCATTTGTTTTTGAATTTCTTTGGATCTCGGCATGATGTCTAGCTTTTGAGGATCTTTTGGTCTACTTCACTTTGTCAGGCAGGTCCTATTTAAGTGATTTCTTGATTGCGAACAGGTGTGGCAAGAGAAATTGAACTCAGGTGCGATAAACCAGTGTTTTGACAGGGGGGCAAACACTTGTTCACACAGGGCTATATAGTTTTGGATTTTGTTTTCCCTTAATAATAAAAACCTTCATTTAAAAACTGCATGATGTGTTTACTTGTGTTATCTTTGACTAATATATAAATTTGTTTGACGATCTGAAACATTACAGTGTGACAAACATGCAAAAAGATAAGAAATCAGTAAGGGGGCAAACACTTTTTCACACCACTGTATCTGCACGACTTCCTGTTGTTCTGAGTCTCTCTGCACCTCCTCACAGCATTTCATGTCCACAGGTCAAATCTTTACAAAGGTCAAACAGATTAAACAATTATTTGAACAGTTTTGCAAATGCATAACATAGCACTATATCATTTTATCAAGAATTTCTTTCTACATAGGCCACCTAGTGAATTTCTTCTTTTGGAGTGTAGATAGAGAAATTTTGGGTTTCTTGTTTTTCCAATAAAATTGTGAAAAATTGTGCTTTATGCACATTTGGATTAATGTTATCATGTTGATAAACTGGATGAATGACTTTCAGCATACAGCAAAAGGTGAACCAGCAGAAAGTTGTCATAGCTTTAAAACTAAAAGAATGACATTTCATAGTAAGTTGATAGTTGATAAGCAGATTGACACAGCTGTGAAGTCAACCTTCTTCCAGATTAAGTTACTAAGTCACCCCTCTCTCACCTTGAGATGGTTAACAATGCTGTAGCTCCTTTCCTCATAAGTATAAGTAAATGAAATCATATAACCCAGTTTTGGCCTGTCCTCACTGGTTTTCAAAATATTACAGACCTGACAGCTTTTTACTCATAGCTTAAGACATTCATTCATCCATTTATTTACATTGGCTTTTAATACATAGTGCAGTGTCATACATTCTATTTAATCTACGTCTTATATTCTTTGCATTCATTTTATCATGCTGTTTCATTACTTGTAATGATCTGATTTGACTTCTACTTGTTCCCAGTTTTGTGTTTTGTTTCTTTGTTTATGTATGTGAAGTACTTTGGTCAGTAGGAAGTAGCTTATAAAGTGCTGTAGAAATAAATTTGATTTGATTTGCCTTAGAAATCCATTACTGTATTTATATTTGTGCAAGTGTGATATTAATGTATTGTTTGTTACTTTTATCATGCTACCATGAAGGTCAATCTGATTATTATTGTTAACATTTGAAGTTTTCATAGCATTATAACATGGTTGTACTGTTAGAAGTACTTGAAAAGAAAGTAGAAGCAATTAAAGGGGTTACTAGTGACAAGGATACTGCAGTAGTAGCAGGTGAGGACACGTATAATAGCTCACAAGACACTCAGTTAACAGACACCAACAACAGAGAGACAGAATTGTACTGCATTTTGGTAGCGATCATTGTAGGGAAGAGATAAACAGTAAATTGTAATGTCTTCTGTGGCCAAACTGCATAGCAGGATGGAGCGAACTGGCAGTGTCAGTGCATCTGAGCTGCTCCTAAATGTCCAGCCCTGTAATCAGCTGATGAGAATCAGCTGTGAGCTCCGCTGGGACTGTCTGCAGAGAGAGACAGGGATAAGAGAGCGAGAGAGGTGGCAACGAGCAAACCTGACATCTGCATTCAGTTTCATACATATACAGCACCCTGTTGTGTTATTTGATTGTTCTATTATGTCAAGATATTAAACAAAATGAAGGAACCGTAGCGATTTACAAATACCCCAACGTTTCCTTTCAGCGGATCTTCTGAAGCGTCTTTTTGACTGGAAGTCTATGGAACAGTGTGACGGTACTCTCTGGAATGTGCAGCTTAAGCAAATACCGTTCATGCCATCACAATAACAATGGCATAGATTGTTGACAATTTTCTCTACGATTTTTATCTATTATATGTGTATAAAGCTTAAGGATGGCATAATAGGATCAGAAAAGTTGCAAGGAGTAATTGGAAAAACACAGACAGGCAAGCTAGAGCGGGGGGTCACGTGACTCAGAATGTGCCATATGGATTGCATTGGCCCATTCATTGTCTATGGAGAAATAGACAAAATATAAATCTTGATTATAAAAAAAAACGTAAAAGATATCAAGATGATTGTTGCACCATTGGCAGCTGAACGTCTCACGAGTTGAATAGACTTGAAATTGCATTTCTAGCCCAAGGTATGCTGGAGATATTAAGGCTCAGACTTTCCCATTTATTTCCAATGGGAAAATTTTTGCCCCATTCATTTGGCAAAATTTGCTGAAAAAAGCTGAATATTTTAAAAAGTATAAATGTTGCAAAAAATTAATATACAAGATAGAATGTCCTGGAAGAGCTGAACATTTTGATACCAGAATGGATTTTCTAGCTTAAAATATACTAAACTTATTAAGATGTGAACATTTTCCCATTGGTCCCCACGAAATAGGTAAAACAGGTAGGGTTGTGTGTGTATGTATATAGGTGTGTAGGTGGGTCTGTGTGTATGTGTGTGAGAGAAACAGAGAGTAGTCCTACACCATGATGACTACTAGAGTGTGGCTACTGAAGTGAAGCATAAAATGTAAATGGTAATTATGCAAAAACCATAAAAGATCAAAAAGCTGTGTACAATACTAATAGCTGAAGAGTTGCTGAATAGCTAATAGTTGAAATCATGTTTCTAGCTAAAAGTATGCTGAGGTTATTAAGATGTGAAAATGTTACCCATTCATTTGAATGCGGCAAAATTAGCTGAAAAAAGTTAAATATTGTAAAAAGTATAAATGTTAGACACAAGACAAATACAAGCAAGCATGCCCTTGAAAAGATGAACATTTTGATACCTGAATGGTTATTCATGGTAAACAGCTTTTTGATATGTTTTATGGTTTTCTGCATATTTGATGTTGACATTTTGTTTCATTTCAATAGTCACAATGTAGCAGTCCTCAGGGTGTAAGACTACTCTCTCTTTCACACACATACACACCTACTTATTTTACCTACTTTGTGGGGACAATGGAAATATTTTCACTTAATAAGTTCAGCATACTTTCAGCTAGAAAGGCCATTCAGGTATCAAAATGTTCAGCTTTTCAAGGACATTCCTGTTTGTATTTATTGCATCTCATACTTCAGATTATTCAACAAAGAACTTCCATTTCTTCTCAACTATTTCAACAAAGAACTTCAGCCTTTTCTTGTCATCCTTCAGCTTTTTCAGCAATTGATTTCAGGCATTTACAGGGTGATCCTTCAGCATATTGGCATCCACATGCATTTTAGACAGGAAATGCATTTCTCTAGTTTTATCTGCAGACTATACACTGGTCCAACAGTTGCAGCCATCAACAAAGAGAAAGAAAAATACAATTGGTGTCGACTGTTAGAAGTGTCCAAATTGACTTTCCTGTTTATATTGCACAGACAATGTATTTTTCCTGTGTGTATATGTAGTTTTGTGTGTGTTTTTCAGTGCTGAGCCCATGCCCTCTTGCTGCAGCTTCAGCCAGAAGGTGTCACTCCATCTATAAGGGTTTTGCTCAGTGTCTGATGGCTCTGGGTGACAGTCTGACGGACAGTGCCCGGAAGGATGAGAACATACATGAGATACACTCAATCTGCAGGTCAGTGCAATCACACACATATAAACACGGGCTGTGTGATATATCAAAATAAGCAGTATTAACAGCAACATTGACAGCAACAAACAGTGCAAACAATACAGAAAAAGCAGTATAAACAGACAGCAAACAATGCAGACAACAAAGGAATGTTCATTGAAATGAGATAAATAGGGATAAACAGAAAAAAATAGCGTACTTAAGAACCAGAGACCTGTACGAGTCTGTATGATCTGTACAATGTATATGTACAGGTATTGCACTGAGGGTTATTGTCCAGACATACTGTCGTGGGTTAAATGTTCATCAGAGCGACAGCCTGGGGGAAGAAACTGTCCCTGTGTCTAGTTGTCTTGGTCCACAGTGACCTGTAATGCCGTCCAGAGGGGAGGAGTTCACACAGATTGTGTCCGGGTGTGAGGGGTCTGCAGTGATCCTCTCCACCCTCCTTTTGACCCGTGTGGTGTACAGGTCCTCCATGGAGGACAAGCTCACACAAATGACCTTTTCTGCAGTCCTGACTGTCCGCTGAAGTTTGTACTTGTCCTGTTTGGTTGCTGAGCCAAACCAGACAGTGATGGAGGTGCAGAGAACAAACTTGATGATTCCTCTGTGGAACTGTATCAGCAGCTCCTGGGGCAGGTCGAGCTTCCTGAGCTGGTGCAGCTAAGCTGAGACAAATGAACAAAGCATCAGTGTTTGATACCCTGGGATGAGCACATGTTGGACATGCATCCTGGGATTTGTATTTAATGTCTTATATCCATAAGCTGGTACCTTCAGTTTTCTTTTAACACATTCATCTTCTGACCTATTGATTAATCAAGGAGAGTTTTATGACCATCAAAAACCTTAAAGTGTTTAATTTTCCTTTGCATCATCTATTGAGGCATTAAATTTGACTTATTTTTTTTAGAAGCAGGTTGCTCAAAGTAAGTTGTCCCCTTTCCACTAATCTATACTTTTAAATTATTTGTCCTCTTTTTAGTTCGTCTTCTCATAAAAAAACTACTGGATTATTAAAAAGTCTCAGTGATCTGCCATAACATGTCAGCCTCCTGTGGAAGGAGCTACTGTAGTTTCAGGCTCCCCCACACAGACAAGGAGTTGTTGGCTGAAACCTGAGCTTTCAGCTTTTCAGAGTAGCTCCTCTTTGCTGCTCTGATCTCCCTTGTCAGTATGTTTCTTGCCTGGCTGTACAGAGTCCTGTCCCCGCATCTGTAAGCCTCCTTTTTGGCATGACGAAACTGCTTGAGTGAACTAGGGCTTGTTGTTGTTGTATGTGCAGAAGGTCTTTTGGGGCACACACACATCCTCACAGAAGCTGATATAAGATGTCGCAGTGTCAGTGAGTTCGTCCAGGTCTGTAGCTGCAGTCTTAAATACACTCCAGTGTGTGCAGTCAAAGCACACCTGTAGCTCTTGACTTAGCCTAGGAATTTTAAACATGCCATGGTGCAGCCACTGATTAAGAAACCTGGTCTGGATCCCCCAGTGCTCTCAAATTTTAGGCCCATTTCAAATTTACCATTCCTTTCCAAAATCCTTAAAAAGATAGATTACACTCAGTTACTGGCCTTTTAAAACAAGCATACAGTGCCTTGCGAAAGTATTCGGCCCCCTTGAACTTTGCGACCTTTTGCCACATTTCAGGCTTCAAACATAACGATATAAAACTGTAATTTTTTGTGAAGAATCAACAACAAGTGGGACACAATCATGAAGTGGAACGAAATTTATTGGATATGTCAAACTTTTTTAACAAATAAAAAACTGAAAAATTGGGTGTGCAAAATTATTCAGCCCCCTTAAGTTAATACTTTGTAGCGCCACCTTTTGCTGCGATTACAGCTGTAAGTCGCTTGGGGTATGTCTCTATCAGTTTTGCACATCGAGAGACGGAAATTTTTGCCCATTCCTCCTTGCAAAACAGCTCGAGCTCAGTGAGGTTGGATAGAGAGCGTTTGTGAACAGCAGTTTTCAGTTCTTTCCACAGATTCTCGATTGGATTCAGGTCTGGACTTTGACTTGGCCATTCTAACACCTGGATATGTGTATTTGTGAACCATTCCATTGTAGATTTGGCTTTATGTTTTGGATCATTGTCTTGTTGGAAGACAAAGCTCCGTCCCAGTCTCAGGTCTTTTGCAGACTCCATCAGGTTTCCTTCCAGAATGGTCCTGTATGTGGCTCCATCCATCTTCCCATCAATTTTAACCATCTTCCCTGTCCCTGCTGAAGAAAAGCAGGCCCAAACCATGATGCTGCCACCACCATGTTTGACAGTGGGGATGGTGTGTTCAGGGTGATGAGCTGTGTTGCTTTTACGCCAAACATAACGTTTTGCATTGTTGCCAAAAAGTTCGATTTTGGTTTCATCTGACCAGAGCACCTTCTTCCACATGTTTGGTGTGTCTCCCAGGTGGCTTGTGGCAAACTTTAAACAACACTTTTTATGGATATCTTTAAGAAATGGCTTTCTTCTTGCCACTCGTCCATAAAGGCCAGATTTGTGCAGTATACGACTGATTGTTGTCCTATGGACAGAGTCTCCCACCTCAGCTGTAGATCTCTGCAGTTCATCCAGAGTGATCATGGGCCTCTTGGCTGCATCTCTGATCAGTCTTCTCCTTGTATGAGCTGAAAGTTTAGAGGGACGGCCAGGTCTTGGTAGATTTGCAGTGGTCTGATACTCCTTCCATTTCAATATTATCGCTTGCACAGTGCTCCTTGGGATGTTTAAAGCTTGGGAAATCTTTTTGTATCCAAATCCGGCTTTAAACTTCTCCACAACAGTATCTCGGACCTGCCTGGTGTGTTCCTTGTTCTTCATGATGCTCTCTGCGCTTTAAACGAACCTCTGAGACTATCACAGTGCAGGTGCATTTATACGGAGACTTGATTACACACAGGTGGATTCTATTTATCATCATTAGCCATTTAGGTCAACATTGGATCATTCAGAGATCCTCACTGAACTTCTGGAGAGAGTTTGCTGCACTGAAAGTAAAGGGGCTGAATAATTTTGCACGCCCAATTATTCAGTTTTTTATTTGTTAAAAAAGTTTGAAATATCCAATAAATTTCATTCCACTTCATGATTGTGTCCCACTTGTTGTTGATTCTTCACAAAAAATTACAGTTTTATATCTTTATGTTTGAAGCCTGAAATGTGGCAAAAGGTCGCAAAGTTCAAGGGGGCCGAATACTTTCGCAAGGCACTGTAAAATACATTCTAACACGACCTCTAGTGACATGTCATAACACTGAACATGAGAAAATATTATGGCTATGGCTACAGTTATACACGTCATAATAATAATATTAAACATCCTGTCTGCTGACAGTCAAACTTTTTTATCTAGTTATCCTTGACCATAAGCATCCTGCAGCATTCATGAGACTGGCTAACTAGACATCCTGTCTACTCTAAACATTTCTAATACAACAAGTTGTGCTTGTGGGTTGTGTTTTTAATATATATTGTTTATTGCAATGTACAGCACTTTGGTCCACCTTGGTTGTTTTAGTGCTTTATAAATAAAGTTGGTATGGTAGGGTAGGGTAGGCTCCTCAGTCCAACTCTTCACTGTTTTGACCACAGGCTTCACATTTTTAAGTTTCTGCCTGTAGGTTGGAATAAGATGGACCATACAGTGATCTGAGAGTCCGAGGGCTGTGCCGGGGACAGAGCGATAGACATCTTTTATTGTTGTGTAGCTGTGGTCCAGTGTGTTTTTGTCCCTGGTGGGACAGGTGATGTGCTGTCTGTATTTGGGCAGTTTGTGGGTGAGATTTGCTCTGTTAAAGTCCCCTAGAACAATGAATGGAGAGTCGTGATGTTCAAGCTTCAGGCTAGTTATCAGTTCTGCTAGGAACCGTAGTGCACTACCGTTATCCTGCAGTGTTATGTACACTCCCATTAGCATGAAACTGTTGAATTCACGGGGAGAGTAAAGGGTTTGCAATTGATAACAATAGTCTCTAGGTCTACGGTACATGTCCTCTGTAGCACTGTGACATCTGTGCACCAACTTTCATTTATGTAGAAGCAGATTCCACCTCTCGTTTTCCCGGGCAGCTCCTTTCCACGATCCTCTCTGTACACCTGGAAGCCCGGTACTTGAATTGCGCTGTCCGCGATTGAGTCGCTGAGCCAGGTCTCCGTGAAGCACAGAGCAGTAGAGCATGCAAAGTCAGAGTTAGTCCTGTTGACGAGAAGAATTTCATCCATTTTGTTGACCAGGGAGCGGAGATTAGCCAGGTGAATAGATGGGAGTGAGGTCCATGTTCCCCTCTGTCGTAACCACACCAAGGTGCCAGCCCATTTTCCACGGTGGCAACCTTTTTTCCAGGTCCCGTATATTGCTGCTGTTTAGACAAGCATTTTACATTTCCACAAAGTCAGTCTAGTTTCTGATATCAATAGGGCATGTCCGCCTGTTCACATGCAGTTGGAATGATGTGTTCCTCAAATAACTGTACTGTACATGAACAATAACAAATTGTGCCAAAGTTAATATAGACTCTGAAGAGTTCTTTTAGCACAAGACTGTTATATCCCTGGTGTAGGAAGGAGCATTACTGTAGGTCGTTCCTCCAGACTGTATAATATACGTTATCACTGCAGTGATAAGACTATGCCATAATTGACGGAAGTGCAATACTCAAATCCTGGGGGTAGAAATGCATGGTAAATATGCACATATGTAATATCTTGTTCCTGATTTTTCTCAAATACATTATATTATCTTGTTTTTAGGTTTTTTTGAGTAGTTCTCAGAGATCCTTATGGCTGGAATAGGCATTTTCCTCATTGTGGGATTAATTATGGGAGTAATATTATTGTGTGGATGCTGACAAGCCTCCTGTTTCAGCTAATTTTGCCCCATTGAAATGAATGGGCAACAGGTTCACATCATAATAACTTCAACATACTTTTAGCTAGAAACGCGATTTCAAGTATTAGCATTAACATTTATACTTTTTCATATATTTAGCAT